CCCTCGGGCCCTGGGAATAAGCATCCCCTTGTGCGGCTGGGGCAGATGATCGGGGTCTGACCGGCAGCCCCCGGCCGTCTCTGCCGCTTGGCATTTGCCGGCATAGAATGGCTCCCTTGTGCCGCGCCGCGGCATGGCGGAGATGGGCTGCACGCCGGCCCCGGGGGGGGGGGGGGGGGCCCCCGGGGGGCTGGGCGAACGCCTGGGTTACGCTTCCAGCGGCTCGGGGCGGCGGGGTGGGCGCCCGGGTGTCGAAGACAGGCCACGCAGCACCGGCCACCGCTAACCGTGAGCGGCAGATCTGGGCACTCGTCTCCCCAAAGGAGGATGCAAACAAATTCACTGCGAGGCTGGTTAATCCTCTTCCGAGGAAGATTACTTGGTGCGGCCGGGGATGCCAAATAAAAATCAGACTTGAATAAAGGTTGCACGAGCGCCAGGCTCTCACAGGCAAACGCGGGGACGAGTTATCTCACTGGGCTGCGGCCGAGTGCCTGGCTCACTGCGGGAGCACGTGCTCCAACGCAGCCACAGCGCTGAGCAGCTCAGCAAACAACAAAAAAAAGAAAAAAAAGGAGGGGGGGGGGAAATCACATTCCAGTTGCAATATTTTTAAACAGCACGGTCTGCGGAAGACATAACTAAACCCGACTCAAGCCCTGCTTTGCACGCGCCAGGATTTGCTGTGCTCAGCAGAGATGGGGAGCACAGAAATGCTGTTAAAAACCAAATCTCAACCCAAGGAAGCCCGTGAAGGAGCCCCTCTACTCTTCCTACACAGCAGTAGCCATTCCCAGCCGGCACAGCATGGGGCCAATCCCAACCTTCCTCGGGAATGGCCGAGCCACCGCAGGAGTGTCCCGGCTCCTCTGTGCCAGTTGGACCTGCCAGGTCCCCGCCGGGCTCTCGGGATGGAGGAGAGCGTGTCTGTCCTCCGGCAGCCCGGACACAAATAGGAAGCGAGCGTGGAAAAATACAACAGGATCGTTCGCAGCCCTGAGTGACAGGAAAAGGGCCAAACCTGCACAGAGGCACGGCGCGGAGCATCGCTCAGTGCTCGCCATGGGAGCCCGACATCTGGGCAGGGGGGCTCCGAGCGCGGGGGACCAATCCTGCTGGGGAGCAGTGCTGGCCGAGTGACCCAGTTAATCCCGGTGCAGTGTGGGACTGGGCGCAGGGTGGAGCTGGGTGCCTACAGGGTGATGAAGTGAGGGGAGGGAGCATTCCCGCTCCGACATCCCGACAGCCACGTGAGCTGCGTGGCTCCAGGCAATGGGAAGCATGGGCAGAGCCAGTGAGCAGATCCAGCAGAAAGAGAGCAATGGAAAAATATCCAGGCAACATCTGGGTTTAAAGAATTTATTTCAAACAAAAATTCCCCAACAAAAAGTCGTACAAAAAGAATAATCAGAGACAAGAGTGGTCGTTATAGAAGTGTTCACAGATACAAAAATCATCTGAACAATCCTCAGTGAGCAGAGCGTGGCCCCAGCACGGAGGCTAAGGCACGCTTGGCTTTGGTTGTGCGCGGGGAAGCGATCAGCCCCGCGGGCAGGATTGTCTCAGTGAGGGAATGCAAAGGTCCTCAGCACCCAAACTCTGCCCAGGTCATGCCGGAGCGAGTGGGGTCAGCCCCTGGCACACACACTCGAGCAGTCCTTGCTACAATACCCAGCTCACCGGTTCCCACACGGGTCAGCACATGTTGCTGCCGTGTTCTCACCACACCGGGGCCACTGACCACTCTACGGGTGCAGGATCAAGCCCATTCTGAGCAGGACTCCCGGCCCTGAAGGACTCATTTCAACTCCACATCAGCATTTGTGGCTGCCACCAGCCTCAGACCGGGCTTCCTTCTCTTTTCCTCGGCCACCAGGGAGATGCCAGAGCCGCAGCTCCAACTCTCGTGTGGTGGTACCGCAGTCTGGGGGTTGGTTTTCAGCCCCATCACGGGGGAGGCATCATCACATTGTGCAGGTTTGGTGCTGACACACAGGAACCAGCTTTCCTGTTCTTGGTAAACAGCACCAAAACACTGCCGCAGATCACAAATTCGTCCCCCAAGTTCTCTGCCCTGGTAACAGCCCATGGAAGCCTTTACAGTTTCGGTAGACTAGCTCAAACCATTCCCCCTGCAGGCATCACCAGGCTCATGGCAAAGATTATCATCAGCAGACAAAGTCTCTGCTTCATCTGGCCAGAAAAAGGCCTGTTACTTTCTTAGGGAACTGCAATCCTGGTGAGCTACTGCAGGAGAAGGGCTGCACCTCCATCACCACGGGACTCAAACCCGAGCAAGACTAAAATATTCTCTAGTAATCCTGAGAAATACCTCCAAGCTCCTGTTTTCCGTGACAGGAGTTGCCAGAGCATGGCCACTGCAGGCAAGGGGAGAGCAGATATCCCCCCTTTGAACCCCCAAATCCTGGGGCAGTTATTGACCCTCCGCGTCCTGCCCAACCACACACAGAGCCGCTCCACACCGCGGAGCCTCGCGTGTTCTCCTACCATGCACAAGTCCACAACACCACGCTTGGTGTCGGTCCATAGGACAGTCACGACAAGAGTAGCTGAGGGCAGTGAGCGGAGCCGGGGTCTCGGTGCTGCAGGAGCTCTGGTCTCACGGCCGCCGCGTCCCCATTTCCAGACCGAAGTGCTGTGAGGGTGCAAGCTTTCATCCCAAGGGATCGCCACGCTGTCAACCGCATCCGATGCGCTTCTCTCAACAGGTCATGCAGCGCGGACGGATGTTGTCTGAAGGGGGGTTTGGATCAATCTGCAAAGCCAAGTTTAGAGTCAAAAACCTTGGCAGCGGGCACATCCCAGCCATCTCCACCAGCCCTCCCAGCCCAGGGGGATTCGTTACCTCCGAATACAGCGGAGGTGGTCGGAAGCGAAACTCCTGGATGTAGGCGAAGAAGGGACCTTCCAGGATGCCGCCGAGTTCGCTGCGGCACGGCGGAGCCAGGCTCTGCTCGGCCTCCGGGCCGGACACGACCGCCGAGTATTCAGGGGGAGCTGAAAAGAGAAGAGAACCATCAGGGAATAGGAAACACTCTCCATTAATGGGAGACATGCAGGTAAAAGGGCTTCAAATCCACTATTTCCCAAACCCTCCCAGTTTCCTGGGGAAGGAACCCAGGAGATGCAGCACCACAACCAATAAATTA